TCTCCATATTTACAGGCAGTGGCTCTTAAGTCGACATCGGACGCGGCGGCCGTATTTACATTTCAGCATGCAGCATGAGCGAGGAGAGCAGAACATAAGTATTTCGCTTTAGCAAGCAAGGGACTGACGCTGGAAAGCTTCACTACTTTTATGGATTGTTGCTTAAGAACAAGGGATAGGAATATAGCGGATTATCTCGGAGTCATTGATCGAATATCAATATAGATCTAGTTTGCCGAACTCCATGCGTCGCAATGGTTATCGTATAGGATTCTGAATACACCAGTACTTAATATTTGAATGTAGTATCTTACAGAAGGTGAGCTAAACATGACTTTTCTGCCAAAATTAAAGTCCAAATACCGAGGAAATCAAATGCAAGAAGACATTTTCACGTTCCTTTTGATTATCTGGTCACAGGCACTTGTCTTTTGTTTTCGTTTCTAGCAGGTTAGCGTTGTGATTATCATGATTTTGAGAGCGTTAATACTCAGCGCTGATGAAAAGCCCGAAAACAATTTTTATACCAGGTGTTACACTGACATTTCTTCTTTCGAAAGGTCAGAATTTTAGGTGTTTTGCTGTTTTACCGAGTGGTGAATTTGCCGATTGAAAAAGTGTGCGTGATTAAGAATTTTGAGGAAGCGAATTTTAGTGACTTTAAGCGGTTGGTCGTGACCTTGAAAATTACTGAACCCACAGAAGTATACTTTTGTATAACAAAGAAATTACCAAGACCTTTGTCCGATAGTGATATCTAGGAACATTGTGCAATCGAGACTCCGATCATCTAGAAAAGCTTTTGAGTATCATTAGTTTTGATTTGACAATTTTCACAACGTCACAGGAAAGCCAAAAACGAAAAAGGGAGTCTCTCGGGGTACCATTGCTTTTGGGGTTCAAAAGGAACGTTCATTCGGGGAGCTGTTATTTTCAGAGGGACCATTACTTTCGGAATTCTGTGGCATATGTATTTCGAAATTAAAATGGAAGGAGCAGGGATCGGAACGGCTATCTATTGCCTTGGAAAGACACTGAAAACGTTCTACTCCTGAACAAAAAAGGAAAGAACATACAAATATAAAACCACTGTTAAAATTAAGTCCACCAAGTTTGGCTAAGTTTATCCTGCATGCCAGGGAAACTGTAAATATTTTTATTTTCAATAAAACACTCACATACGCTCATAACTACTCAAAATACACATAGTTTTAACCCTCAAATTATTGACCACAAGTAAATGTCGGAACCGCTTTAAAAACAACGCCTCAGTTTCAAAATAATTTTTGAGAGAAACGTGTTAAGAGCACAGTCCTTAAATAAATAGAAATATTTATAGTTAAATGTTTTGTTTACGTCGTCAGTATCGATACAGTTGTTTCACGCAAGGTAACATAAAGAAACCAGTTTCATTGTTTGGCCCGTCTCACTTTTCCCCCAAATATTTATTCAACTTGCCTTAAAAACATGGACAGTAAAACCCTAATAACAAAAATGTACCGACAAAAAAACTAAAAAAGCCTGCCGCATACTAGCAACATCGAGAGGTTCTTTTCAAACTACAAAACCGCTCAAAACTAATACAGATAAAAATACTCTCCACGCAAAAATTATTTAAAAAATTAGAATGTCGGAAACCTTTCAACGAGTTTGAAAGAATTATTAAGAAGGTTGTTAACAAAACAATTATTGGCAACTGTTTCATAATCAGTACGAGTGAAAATGTTGTCAATAAGTTTATAGCACCGGAAACCTTCTAGAACAAAGATATAACTATCAAAACAAAATCAAGGAGGTATTATTTATCATTTGTTACTTCCCTGATGTTCTTAAACATTTTCGCATGATCCAAAGGTGACAGCTTACTCTAGGATTTCGGCCTTTAACAACAGTTCTCGTGATTTCCAGTTGCTCCGAATCATTTTTCCTTACATTTATATTCGTCCCTGGAGAAAGAATCCATGGCCGCACCCAAGACTTTAAAGCAGACTGATTAAAAAGACTTTTCTCGGGTTTGCAAGGAAGTTTATCCAAACGGGCATTACAGCTTACTTCACCTGTATCATTAAGAATATATTTATACCGAGAACCCATCGGATATCCTCGCGAGAAAGAGAGCCGGCGACTTGCATTTTTTAATAAAAAGTAAAATTATTGTCCTTTATCAATAAGTCTTAGGTAACGTAACGGGAATTCCACCACTAACAACTGGGGAATCTAAATGGTTGGGTTTTACATCTAGCTCTTGTGCAATCTATTTATCCAGTGTGAAATCTTTGTTACATTTTGGCTTACAGAACTAAGTCTTTTTTCGTCAAGCAAAAATATATGAGAAGAGAACTGAAATTAGGACGCAGGAATTTAAAAATAATTAAGCTGTTTAGAGATGAAGCTTAAAATATTCATTTGGCCTTGGGGGATATTCGAAATTAAAAGCATCCTCTACAGAGGAAGATTGGGAAATAAACAGCTATATAAACGCACACCGCCAGACAGTTAATAATTTTGTAGTCGATGTAGCCAGATCAACATGTAGGAATGTTTTTTCACGTGTATGTTGTTCATGTTCTAAAAGGCAACCGCCTCTCAAAAACACATAAATTATGCAGCCTATGGGGAATAAATAAGAGTGTGTCTTGCAGTCTTCATCAGCACTTGAAGAGAGTATTTGATATTGCGTATTCATCCACCGTCTCAAGTTCCAATTTTCAAGCTAAGTTGGGACATCAAACTATGCTTCAGTATTTTGAGTTAAACAGAGGCCTTTGAAAGTAGCCTGACTTGCTGAATAAGCTTTGGGTTAGGTCGTTGAGTGTTCAGAGAGCTACGTCACAGTTGCGCACCTTGAAAATATAAATGTTAGCCTAAATTTTTTCAATTTTGTCGTTTGTAGTCCATGTTAATCTGCTCCATCCTTAAAATGCCACTAACCCCCCCAAATCTTTTTCTTTTAATAAAATCTACTAGTTTCCCTGATTACTACAGCGAAAAAATTATCTCGATTGATAAAATCCCTACGTTTCTACAGGCGTTTAAACATGTAATTTCTATGTTCACGACCGCGCAAAGTGGGATCTGGGTCGGGCCACTAGTGACGTCACTTCGGGAACCATCTAAAACACTCAAGAGACTTTTGACGGAGCTTCGAGGGCAGTCAAAACATTTTCGGGTTATTTGTGATTCATATTTTATCAAAACTGGACAAGAAATTTAAGTGAAAGAACTGTATCATCTAGCATTACAATTCGGAGTCTAGCTACGATTTGGACGGCTGCGAAG